TTTGCTCACTACAAACTACACTAATCCTCTAAATATTCCACTTTGGCGCAAAGCCACTCATTACCTATTTTGCTTACAGGACGGATTTAAGCTTCTCTGAACCTGGCCTCTGTCCCGGGGAAGCTCTTCAGTGATCGTATCCCGTAGTGGAACGCGGCGCGTCCTGTCTCCCTCTGCCCCTGTCCCTTTACCCTGGGGACTGGCCTTGGGCTGCTGTCACAATGCCACTGCTCTGATTCCAGTGTCGTTGGGTTTCCCGGTAGCAGGCTTCCTTCCTGCCAGTAGTAACGGTGTTAACGCGAGCACGGACGCCAGGACCCACATGAGAGAGGGAAACTGAGGTCTCAGCGGGTTAGAGGCCAGGGCCCTTCAACAACGGGGCGCTGCTGTGGCCTGGGGCGGAGCCCGAGGGTGTTAGTAAATTTCTGCAGGGCGGGGCATAAACCACACACGTCAGTGAAGGGCCTTCCTTCTACTGAGAACTTTCCACTTTGTTTTCTGAGTGATTCCATCCATGTGTGGTGTGGGGGATACTGAAGAATTTAATTTTTCTCTGTTTCTTTATTTTTCATATAATCACATGGGGAAAAAATAACAGGCTAATGTAGAACAAGACCAAAGTTTTAGCTGGACATGTATGAGTATATCACTCAATAAAGAAACATATTATCTCCCGATCCAGCCCATTCCCCTGCCCTCTGACAGCTGCCACGCTGGCACTGGACTGACCCATGTAATTAGAAGGAGTACAGCCCTGGCTGGTGTAGCTCAGTGGATTGAGCATGGGCTGTGAATCAAAGGGTTGCTGGTTCGATTCCCGGTCAGGGCACATGCCTGGATCCTGGGCCAGGTCCCCAGTAGGGGCCACGTGAGAGCAACCACACACTGATGTTTCTCTCCCTCTCTTTCTCCCTCCTTTCCTCTCTCTCTAAAACTAAATAAATAAAAATATTTTTTAGAGAGAAATAGTACAGATATGAAAATGTTCAATTTCCAGTTGATCCATCGAAGCATTTGTTTTTTATTTTATTGCCATATAACATTATGTTACTTTCAAATGTACAATATAATGATTTGACATGTGTATATAGTATGATATGATTACCACAATAAATCTAGAATATAGTTACAAAATTTATTTTTCTTGTGATGAGGAATGTGAAGATCTCTCTTAGCTATTTTCAAATACACTATTAATAACTGTAGTCACCAGGCTGTGCATTATGTCCCCAAGACTTATTTTATGGAATCGTGCCTTTTACACCATTTATTGCCCCCCATCCGCTGCCTCTGGCAACCACCCACCTGTTCTCCATATCTATGACATCACTTAAAAAAAAAGATTCCACATATAAGTGAGATCGTATTGTATTGTCTTTCTCTGACATATTTCACTTAGCATAATGCCCTCAAAGTTCACCCATGTGTCACAAATGACAACATTTCCTTCTTTTTCATGACTGACTAATATTCCACTTATACACCTTACCATATTTTCTTCATCCATTTGTCCATTGGTGGGCACTTAGGTTGTTCCCATATCTTGGTGATCATAAGGAATGCTGCAGTGAGCCTGGGGGTGCTGACTTCTTTCTGAGTTCATGTTTTTGGTTTATTCAAATAAACACCCACAAGTGGAACTGCTGGATCAATTTCTAATAATTTGTGGAAGCTCTATACTGTTTTCTATAGTGGCTGCATCTGCTTACATTCCCATCAGAGTGCACACGGGTTCCCGTTTCTCCACATCCTTTCCCACACTTAGTATTTCCTGTTGATGATTTACTTTGCTGTGCAGAATCATTTTAGTCTGATGTAGTAACTTTTTTTGTTTGCTTTTGGAATCAGGCCCAAAATATCATCACCAAGATCAATGTCAAGGAGATGACATCCTATGTTTTCTTTTAAAAGTTTTATGGTTTCAGGTCTTATGTTCAAATTATTCATCTATTTTGAGTTAATTTTTGCGGATGGCATAAGGTAGTGGTCCAGTTTTCCCAGCACCATTTATTGAAGAGATCGTTTTTTTCCCCATTGTATATTCTTGGTTTCTTTGCTGTAAATAATTGACCATATATGTATGGGTTTCTTATGGGCTCTCTATTCTATTGCATTGCTCTGTGTATCTGTTTTTCTGCCAATACCATACTGTTTTGATTACTATAGCTTTGTAGTGTAGTTTGACACCAGGTAGCATGATATCTCTAACTTTGTTCTTCTTTCTCAAGATTTCTTTGGCTCTTCAGGGTCTTTTGTGGTTTCAAGCAAGTTTCAGGGTTGATTGCTCCATTTCTGTGAAAAACACCATTAGAATTTTGATAGGAAGTTCATTGGATCTATAGCTTGCTTTGGGTAGTATGAAATTTTTAATAATATGAATTCTTGTAATCCATGAGCATGAAATATCTTTATATTTCTTCATGTCTTTTATTAATGTCCTAAAGTTTTTAGTGTACAGGTTTTTAACCTGATTAGTTAAATTCATTCTTAGGTATATTATTATTTTTGCTGGAATTGTAAATGAGGTTGTTTTCTTAATTTCTTTAGTATAGTTCATCATTTGTGTATAGAAACACAACAGATTTTCATAAACTGATTTTGTACTCTGAAACGTCATTGATTTTGTTTATTAGTTCCAACAGTTTCCCTGTGGAGTCTTTAGGATTTTCTATATATGATATCATGTCATCTGCAAATAGTGATCCCTTCTTTCCCTTTTGGATGCCTTTTATTTTTTTTCCTGCCTTATTGCTCTATCTAGGACTTCTAATACCACATTGAATAACAGGTCCTGCTCCTGACCTAACAGGAAAAGCTTTCAGCTTTTCAGTTTGGAGCCCTTCTTGATACTCACATTTCAAGTTTCAACTGACAGTTGGCCTGGGCATAAAAAGTGGCCTGAAAGGGTCATGAAAATCAGGGGCTCAGTGAGGAGGGTCATCCCAGCAGGCAAGCCAACTGGCCCAGAAGAGATGGTTACTGAGGACCAATAGAATGGTGGGGGGTGGGGTGCAGAGACGATGCATATAAGTCACAGCCTCAGAAATAACTACAGCAGGTAGACCCTGGTTTGTGCCAGGAACCTCTCCTGGTCGGCTTCCCCCAAATTGTAACCCACCAGGACCCTTGAAACACTGGGACTCGATGGTGTGAATTTTACATAAGAAGGAAATGGATCTTTGTGGTGGAAAGCATGGCCAGCAGCGTAGCTGCTCACCCCAGAGTTCCTTTGCTCTTTTCTGGATGTAGAGTTGGTTGCCAATCACTCACACGTGCCCTTTGCTTCGGAACTTGGTCACCTGCCATGGAGGTGCCTGGGCAGTCATGCCCCTCCCGCAAGGGACAGTCTTGTGTTGAAGTCTTGTAATGCAAGTGAATACCCACTAGGCTTCCAGGTGGATGGCCTGTGTTCTACCATTGATACGACAAGGTGCCTATGGAATCAAGCTGAGCCTGGAGGTATAAAAAACTCTCTATTTCTCTTTCCTTTACCTCTTATATCCTACTTGTTAAAAAATCCCACATGTTTTTCAATACAGCATTTCTTCAATCAATCACCAGCAAAAGGGTTCTCATGCTAAGAAGGAACTTACTTCTAGGGACGGACCCTGAGACAGAGGTGGTAGAAGCGATGCCATTGGTTACCATCGGTGAAAAGGAGAAGGAGGCTGGCGTTCTATTTCCCCGTCTAACTGATGGTCACAGGAGGTGTTTAGTTGTAAACACTTATGCTCCATGTGTAAGATTGATTCAGAGTCCTGTACAGACTTATAGAAATAAAGTGTTTCTAAATGTGCATCCTCTCCCATCATCCAATTCTGCTTTCAAGGCTTTGTCCTAGGAAATCATTCGGACGAGTAAATAAAATTATCTGTGCACAATAAAGAATGATCTAAAATGATGTTTAATAATAAATCATTCCTTCCATTAAAATATTGAACAACTACTCTAGTTCAAATTACAGTTCTTAGAATCTGGATACAGGGGAAGAAGGGAGGGAGGGATGAATGAATGATTCATTCTTTACATAGAAAAGCTTTAAGCATTAACAAGTAAACACCCCAGAGGAGGATGAACCTTCATTCAGTTCAGAGGTTGGAGGTAGGTGGTATCTAGAGATACCTTCACTTCCCTGTGAAGTCGGTTTGTAGCTGAATTTTTAAAGATAAACACAAATTGATCAGAAAATGAGTTTCCATTAAATCTGCGTCTTCAAAAGATTTGCTGCAAAACTCTGGTGCTGGAAGCTGCTTCTCTCCCTGAGAATATCAGCTGGAAAACATGCTTTTATACACATAAAATTATTGGATAGGGATTTTCCCCCCAGGGAAAAAAGTAATCTAAAAGCATAATGATCGAAATATGTAATATAGATTTTTTTCCCTAACTCTGCTACTAAACAGCTGGGTGAAAGATTGGGCAGGCCTAATCTTTCTGGGCTACCTTTTCCAATGTGTAAAATGGTGATTAAAAGTTTGAAGCTTCTTACAGTAAGAAGAATCTTTATTTTTTTAAGGTTTTATTTATTTATATTTTTAGAGAGAGGGGAAGGGAAGGTGAAAGAGAGGGAGAGAAACATCAATGTGTGGTTGCCTCCCACGTGCCCCCTACTGGAGACCTGGCCCACAACCTAGGCATGTGCCCTGCCTGGGAATTGAACCGGCGACCCTTTGGTTTGCAGACTGGCACTCAATCCACTGAGCCACACCAGCCAGGGTGAGAGAAATCTTTATTTTTTAACTTGGATGCACTTAGTTTTAGAATCAGATGCCCTATCAGAATTCGATACAAATTTTATTTGAAATTACATAAGATAAATTTCATAAGATAAATTAAGGCTATACTATGTATGCTTTACAAAGATTTTAGTTGACGTCTCAAACACAAAGTACACAGAGCAAGATGAGTCAAAAGCCCGTATTACAGTAACTACTAATGCTTGTATCACTAGTGAAGAGTAGGCGCCTTTAAGAGATAAACTGAAGGTGTCATGGACTCACCTGGTTTCATAAATGGTGTAAAGTTTTCTATGTTCTTTGACTGCATTCCTGAAAAAAATAAAAGGAGGATACAATATGAGTTTCACATTTATTGCTAAAATCTGAAATTCCTTTAATAAGCCTGTTCTCAAACTGTGTCTATCTGGCAAAATATCTCTGCTAATTTTTGGGTGAAATGCAAGAAATAATACTTAAAGAAAAGCTCTAATATTTTAAATTTTTATATGTTTATTGATTTTAAAGAGAGAGGAAGGAGGGAGAGAAACACTGATGCAAGAGAGAAACATCCATCATTTGCCTCCCATATGCACCCTGACCAGGAATCGAACCCCTAACTTTTTGGTGTACACCTAACTTTTTGGTGTACAGGAAGATGCTACAACCAAGCCACCCTGGCCAGGGTGGCTGTGATGTTTTAAAAAGGTAATACACCATGTCGCATTTGATAAGCTTAAATTTCGGTTCCTGCTCCTACAGTAGCTGGATACCTAACCACGACTTAAATTGTAGCAAAGAAAACAATTTAAAAATCAGATAATTTCAAGTAGTGGGATGTGCAGTGATAAATATAAAACAAAGTAGTATAATAAAAAATGATGCAAAAGGTGCTATACTCAATAGAAGGGCAAAAAAGCTTCTTTGGGGAAATACATTTTGATTGAAATTTGAATTGTGGAAGGAGTTAAATGTGAGTTTTGTGGGAAACAGATGCCATGTAAAGTTCAAAGTTCCTAAGGTGTGTATGAGACTAATCTGACTTTTAAAAGTTATCAGCAGCCCTGGCTGGGTGGTTCAGTGGGTTGGAGCGTCATCCTGTACACCAAAATGGTTGTGGGTTCGAATCCCTGGTCAGGGACTGTACAGAGGTTGCAGGTTTCATCTCTACTGAGGGCTGATACAGGAGGAAACCCATTAACATTTCTCTCTCACATCAACATTTCTCTCTTTCTCTACCCTCTTCTTCTCTCTCTAAAATCAATAAACATAGTCTTGGAGAGGAATTTAAAAAAACTCATTATCCTCATCATTATACAATGGTAACAATAAACATGAGAGTTCTATATTGATTACTACATACAAGACACTGCAGTTCACATGATTAAAGAGTTGCTCAAAATAAAACAGCTGCGGAAAACCAATGGAGGTAAAATCTATCCTTGACCATGGAAAACCATGTGTCACTGGTGCAAAAGAAAGACAAAATGTTGGGGACAGGCCTGTGGCCGTGTCCCTGATACCAAATACCAGCCCTGTCCGTGGCTACCTCAGCAGAACATTAGCTCACAGACCAAAGCAGTGGACATTAGAGAATTACACCCAGAATTAAGAAGAAAAAGCTAGGCAACCTACTTCACATGAAATGGAATCACGGAAAAACAGCCAGAAAATAAAATAAGCAAAATATATATCTCAGAGGAGCAAGAAACAATAACAGCGCGGAAAAGGGACAAGATATTAAAAGAATCTGGAACATTTTTAGTTATGAAATATATAAATGCTTCAAGAAAGAACAGATTGCCTTGGCCGGGTGGCTCAGTTGGTTGGAGCATAGCCCTATACACCAAAGTGCTGCAGGTTCGATTCCCGCTGGGGCACGTATGGGAGGACACTAATTGAGGTCTCCCTCTGCCCCCCTCTTCCTCTCCAAAAAATCAGTAAAACATATCCTTGGGTGAGGATTAAAAACATTTTTAAAGGAAGAACAGATTTAAATGGATAAATAAAATTTAAATGGCTGCAGAAAAACTTAGTGAAGGACAATCAAAGGCAGGATTAAAGGATAATCAAGTAATGGAAGTGAAGAGCAAAGAGAAATGGAACCCACAGGGTCCCGTGGAAGTAACGCCTGCTTGAGTGTGGTTAGTGGGGTAATAACATGGGTGTGATAATGTATAGTTTTAATTTGAACACTTCACCTCAAATGTCATGCGCTGTGCTCGAGTGTGATACTGTTATGTTACAAAATTACATGCTTATGCAAAAAAGATTTTGTAATAAAAGAGGGGCATTCTCTGTGCTGAACCCCATATAAGAACGGGTACTGATTTCTGCAGAATGGAAGGTACCAGATGGGGAGGGGGAATCAGGAAATCCATTATTGATAACATGACCACAAATTTCCCAGAATTAAATGAAATACCTTAAACAGAAGAAACCCCACCACATTTTATAATTACTATAAAGCCACAGTCACCTAACCTAGACAGCAGGGTTTTGGCAAAGGGACAGGCCCACAGATCAATTGCACAGGATAGGAACTTCAGAAATAGACAAAACAAAAAAGCTGTTCAAGTCATTGTCAATCGAAAACAAGCTTTTCAGCAAATAGTGTTGGAACAGCTGGACATTCATATGCAGATTAAAAATTTACCTAAACCTCATACCTTATACATAAACAAAAACAATCTCAAAATAATCTAGAATTTTATACATCTAAAATTTTCCATTTTTGCCCTGGCTGGTGAGGCTCAGTGAATTAAGTGCTGGCTTGTGAACCAAAGAATCGCAGGTTCGATTCCCAGTCAGGGCACATGCCTGGGTTGTAGGCCAAGTCCCCAGTAGGGGGCGAGCGAGAGACAACCACACATTGATGTTTCTCTCCCTCTCTTTCTCCTTCCCCTCCCTTCTGTCTAAAAATAAATAAATAAAATCTTTAAAAATAAAATAAAATGTTCCATTTTAGAAATTTTCAGGGAAAAATATTACACACACGTAAGTAAAGTGTCTTTGGTCTTTAGACATCTGTCCAATCCCATAGAAAGTACGTGCCACCAGGAGTGAACCCTCACGTGGACTATGGACTTTGGGTGTCAGTGACGAATCAATGTACATTTATCACTCATCACAAATGTCCCACTTACGGGACATGTCAGTCACAAGAAAGGCTGTGCCCCTGTGCATCAGGAAGTACAAAGAGAATCTCTGTACCTTCCGTTCAATGTTGCTGTGAAGCTTAAACAGCCCTAAAAAATAAAGTCTGTTGAAAAACTGAATACGGGTGAATCACTGACTTAGATTTAAGACATATCGTTATAAACGTTTTAGAACGAAACACAGAACTAAGCATCTTTGGGATCCAGTGTGGGGCAAAGAGTTCTTGGAGGTGAGAACAAAGCACAGCCAATTTCAACGTCCAGGATGAACTGGGCTTCTGTCAAGATTGAGATTTTTTGTTTTGTGAAGGCCCCAGCGGGGCAGTGGGGGAGGGATGCGGGGGAGGGATGCGGGGACCGGCGGGGATGTGCAGTGGGGGACGTGTGTGCAAACTTTGGTGCCTACTGGCTGTAGGGAACTCGCAAGGCTCAACAGTAAAACAAAAAACAAAAAAAACAAAAAACCACAATAACCTAACTAGAACATGGGAGGAGCCACGAGGAGACATTTCACTGAACATGAAGTACAAATGGCGAGTGAGCGTCTCCACGTCACCAGCTACTGAGATGCAAATTGAAACCGCGTGATATCACTGCAGGCCTATGGGAATAGCTAAAGGAAGAAAAAAAAAACAAAAAACCTGACAGCAAATGCTGGCGAAGATGCAGAGACATTAGTTACTGCTGGTGAAAATGCAATAAAACGCAACCACCCTAGAAAAAGATTAGAGGTTTCTGGACAAAAATCTGCGCATGCAAGCACCGTACAACCTGGCAACTGTACTCTGGGAATTGTTCATGAGAAATGGAGACTTTATGTGCACACGGGGGTCTGTGCATAATTGTTTGTGGCAGCTTTGTTCAAGGGAGCCAAAATGAAATGGCCCAGATACACTCTGATAAATGAACATGAGGCCCTGGCTGGGTGGCTCAGTTGGTTGGAGCGTCGTCCCATGTACCAAAGTGTCACGGGTTCAATCCCTGGTCAGGGTGCATAGGGGAGGCAATGGATGGATGTTTGTCTCTCACATCAAAAATTGTCTCCCATTCTCTCTCTTTCTTTCTCTCTCTGTCTCTCCTCCTCTTTCTCTAAAAATCAATGAGTGTGCTTGGGTAGGGATAAAAAAAAAGCTAAAAATAAATGAACACACGAACAGACTTTACATCATCCATGCTGCAGAGTACTGGTCAACCACGCAAAAGGGCCGACTAGCTACACACCATCTATGGAATCTGGAGAAAGAGGGTGAGTGGAAAGACTTGGTCCCAAGGGACTGCATTCTGTACTGGATTACATCATTCATAGTCCACTGTTGAAAAGACAAAATCACAGAAACAAAGAACAGCTTGGGGGGTGCCAGTGTTGAAGGGTTGGTTGGGGGGGCGCGAAGTGGGTAACATCAGGGACCCCCGTGGTGACGGACATGCTGTGTCTTCACCATGTCCATGTCCCTCTCCTGGCTGAGACACTGTAGCCTAAGTTTTTAAGAAATTACGTTTGGGGAAGCTGGGTAAACAGCCTATGGGATCTCGCTGTATTACACCCACATAGGAATCTAAAATGACCTCCAGTGAAAATGTATTTTAAAAAGTTATGCCCTGCCCTGGCTAGGGTGGCCCAGTGGGTTGGGCATCATCCTGTAACTGCAAGGTCACTGGTTTGATTCCTGGTCAGGGCACATGCCTAGGTTTCAGGTTCAGTCCCCCACCAGGGAGCCTGGGAGAAGCAACCGATGGATGTTTCTCTCTCACATCAATGCTTTTCTCCCTCTCTTTCTCCCTCCCTCCCTCTCTCTCTAAAAATAAATAAATAAAATCTTTAAAACATTAAGCCCTAAATATTTTAGTGAAAAAAATGTGTTAAGGATTAATTGAGTTTTGAAGTGGGAAAAGATATTTTGAGAAAAAAGTGATGGAATTACAAATTAAACTGAGTAGTCAAGGCTTCACAAAGTTTTTAGAAGCTCAATATGACAGAAATGTTAGCAAGGTTTGACAGAAATACGAAGTCAAATCATGAGATGGCATTTTCATAAACTAAGTTTTAAATTTTAATGTCCGCAAGTGTTCTGTAATGCAAGCATTGTAGAGCATTCTGGTGATGAATGCTACTGATTTTCCTATGTCCATTTTGGTCTCAAAAAGATTCACGCGCTTGAAGGAACTAATGAACAA